TTATAACCCTGCATGTGAACTGGCCTTGTGGCCTTATACTTGTGCTCAGAATGCGTGGTGACGTCGTGATTCACCCTGAGCTTGACCTTGCCTTGTTCTCTTGCTTGTCCCCCACTTTGCCTATGTGTGTGTGTCAGAACTATATTGTAGGCTGTAGTGGGGCACTCCTTATGGGGTACAGCATTGTTAGGTTTCCCCTATACAAACCTTGTACTGTCCTATTTCTAGTCATTCCAGTTTTCATACTTTGTATTGGTGCTCCAACTCGTCGGCTCTGGTTGGCTGAGCCGCCAGTGTATTCAACAATGTATCCACTACCCCCAGCCGCCCCACGCTGAGCAAACCACTCACGGAGCTCCTGAGACGAAAGGGGCTGACGCTGCTGATGCCGCTGGCCACCTCCAAGGCCTCCCCTCTGGCTGGTGCCACCCCTGCCGCCCCCACTACCGCCGCCTCCACCCCCACTACCGCCACTACCGCCGCCACCACCGCTGCCGCCACCACTCCCACTGCCGCCACCACCGCCGCCACCTGCCCCGCCACCCCCACCACCACTACCTCCTCCACCGCCGCCCCCACCACCGCCTCCACCTCTGCCATCCCCACCTCCCCTGCCTCCCCTGCCCCTGCCGCTGCGGCGCCTCCCACTAGGGGCAGACGCAGCTCCTACCTCCTCAGCTCGAAGGTAGTCAACAGCTGCAGCAGAGGCGACTGAGGGGAGAAGGGGGGAGGGCGAACACCCCTCAAAGAAGGGGGTGCGAGGAGTGCCACGAGAAGCGCCTCCAGCGACTATGCTAGTCTCAGCTGCTAGGAGGTGCTTCTCGAGCAGGTTGACAGTGAGGTTTGTCGGGTCAAGTGCTAGGAGGAGGTCCCTGATGTCAACATATATTTTATATGTGTTGTTTAGGTTAGTCTAGGTGTTACTTTTCTACTTCCTTGCATGATTAGGGTTTGCTATATCTAGGGTTGTACTTCTCATTTTCTACCAATTCATTCTTATCGTAACATGGTATAGAGCTAGGTTTCCCGTAGGCGATTTTTCCCCTAGGCGATTTTTCCCTTAGGCGAAATTTCTCTCGATAGTCTATGGGCCCACCACCCGCGCGCCTCGTAGCGACCCGTAGCCCGAAGCGCCCTGCCCCGTAGAGCCCGAGTAGGCCGCGCCCCCCGTCGCCATCGCGCGTCTCCCGTTTCTGCCCTGCGCCCCACCCGTTTTTGCCGTGCGTCACTCGTTTTCTGCCCCTCGCCCCACTCATTTTACCCCACGCGTTTCCCCCCAGCTCTCTAGCGCACAGCAGACGAACGCGCGTAGCTGCGCGCGCAGCCTTAGTCGCACCCGCAGCTTCGCGCTAGTACGTCGCGGCCGCGCGCACCTGCAGCCCACCGTCTTAACCGCCCCCCAGACCTGAAAACCCGCCATTACAGACCTGAAATCCGCCCACAGTAGTGCCTTCGCCAGCGCACTACTGCACCAGTTGAGTCTCACCTGCCTGGTCTAGGACCTTTTCCGGCTGCACGAGTAGAGACCTGTGTTTCCAGTCTTGGTGCGTGTGTTGTTTCCAGTCCAGGCGCCTCTGAGGGTCTTTGTGTAGGAGCTGCAGCTACCACTAGTCTAGCACTAGCCTTTGTAGCTGGTTCGGGTGCGACCCCACAGACTGCACAGCTTTCCTTCACCCTAGATTCTGGAGCGTCCAGCTGTTTCTTTCGCGACTGTACCGACCTCACACCACTGCGCACTCCAGTCACTGTCGCCTTGGCTGACCCCTCTGTGGGACGTGTAGTTGCTAGCAGCACCACCACTCTTCCGTGTCCGGCGGCTCCCTCAGGTTTTCTTACAGGTTACTACACCCCCTCGTTCTCTAGGAACCTGGTGGGTGTCAGTCACCTCCACGACCTAGGCGTAGTCACTACTTTCCCACTGGACGAGCCTGTTGCCTCCTGCACTGTCGGTGCCACTGGGGCGCCTCTGGCCACTTTCCACAGAGAGCCGGGATCTGGTCTGTACTCACTACACACTGGGTCCCACCACACTGAGTCGGGTCAGGTCAGGTCAGGTCAGGTAGCTGCTGTGTCGTGCGACTGTCGGTCACTCGCCCACCCGTCAGTCCTTTGGCACCACAGTCTAGGTCACCCGTCGTTCCCACGTCTTAGTAGGATGGTACGTCACCGTCTGGTCTCAGGTCTCGTAGCGTCGCTTGCCCCGCTTCCTCGCTCGCCTGCGCCGCCGTGCACTCCTTGCGTCGAGGGTCGGCAGCGCACCGCCCCTCACTCCTCCTCGTTCCCCCCCACCACGGCTCCCTTCCAGACCCTGCACTTGGACGTTTGGGGCCCCTCCCCTGTCCTTGGCCCACGTCAGGAACGCTACTTCCTGATTGTGGTGGACGACTATTCCCGCTACACCACGGTTTTCCCCTTGCGACGGAAGGCCGACGTGCCTACCGTCCTTGAGCCGTGGCTCCTAGCGTGGGGTGGCGCCCAGGGCTTGTGTGGGCTTCCCCTACACTCGGACCGTGGTGGTGAGTTCTCTTCCACTCGCCTAGAGACGTTCTGTCAGGGTCGGGGAGTCATTCAGTCGTACACGCTACCAGCCTCGCCGCAGCAGAACGGGGTAGCCGAGCGTCGCATCGGCCTGGTCATGGAGGTTGCCCAGACCTCCATGTGCCATGCCGGTGCCCCTCAGTTCTTGTGGCCTCAGGCAGTCCGCTACGCCGCGCACCAGCTGAACCTGTGGCCCAGTGACGCACGGCCACGGGTGACGCCGGTCTCTCTCTGGTCAGGTTTACAGGGCGTAGTAGCTGACTTCCGCGTCTGGGGTTGTCTGGCCCACGTTCGCGCCCCTGGCGCGAACAAGTTGTCTCCGCGCACTCGTGCCTGCGTCTTTCTTGGCTTCCCTTTAGACGCCTCCGGCTGGGTGTTCTACGACCCGGTCACCTGCGGGTTCTTCGCTTCTCAGGACGTCACGTTCGACGAGTCTGTCTGTTACTACAGGAGTCGCCCCCACCGAGGTACTGAGGTCTTTTCCCCCCCGCTGTTCCTCACCCTTGAGCCCCCCCCAGTCGCCCCGGTAGCCCCCCCCGCTTCGCGTCCTGCCCCGTCAGGTGTGTCGCACGTCACTCCGCAGTCGTCCCCCCCGCAGCGTCCAGTCCCTGTCGTGTCTGGCGGTGCGGGAGGTGCAGTTGCGGAGGGTGCGGGTGCTGGGGCTGCAGGAGCTCGTGGTGTCGGTTCAGGTGGTGCAGTGGGTGTGGGCGTGGAGGTCACTCCCGTGGAGGACACGGCAGCCTCGAGTCGGCGGCCTCGCCCCTCGTCACCCCCCGGCTTCCCGGTCGTCCCGCAGTTCCCTCCTCGTTCTCCTCTGCGGCCGGTTGCTGCGGAGCTTGGGGGTGCTACTACGGGAGGTACTGGAGGCCCCGGGGGTGTCGCTAGTGGAGGTGCTGGTTCTGGTAGTGTTGGAGCTGGAGGCACTGGCACTGTGGCGCCTACACCTCGCACTGTACGTTTCCTGACCCGTGAGCAGCGTCTCCTCCGGTTGGAGAGGGAGGAGCGTGAGCGGTTTGAGAGGGCACAGCAGCGGCAGCAGCAGCAGCAGCAGCAGCAGCAGCAGCAGGAGTCACAGCAGCAGCACGAGAGGGTAGAGCAGGAGTCCCGGTCGCAGCAGCGGGTGCAGCTGCAGCCGTAGCAGGAGAGGGTAGAGGAGGAGTCACGGCCGCACCAGGAGAGGGTAGAGCAGGAGTCCACCCCGCAGCAGCAGGCGCAGTTACAGACCCAGCAGGAGAGAGTACAGGAGGAGTCACGGCCGCACCAGGAGAGGGTAGAGCAGGAGCCCCACCCGCAGCAGCAGGTGCAGTTACAGGCCCCGCGGGAGAGAGTACGGGAGGAGTCACGACCTCAGCAGGAGAGGGTAGCGCAGGAGTCCCGCTCGCAGCAGCGGGTGCAGCTGCAGTCGCAGCAGGAGAGGGCAGAGGCGGAGCCACAGGAGCAGCAGCAGGGGCCGGTGCCGTCGCAGCAGACGCCAGAGGAGGCGGAGCAGCACCGACTGCGACTACACGACCTCCCCGACCCAGCACCTGCACGCTTTGTTCGTGGTCCCCTCCCGTCCCCCCCTGTTCCCCCCTGATGAGTCCCTTTCCTCGTCCCAGTGGACTCGTCGTTCTCCCCTCAGTCGTGCTGTGTCCCCAGAGCGTCGTCGGTCCCGTTACCGTGCAGACGGTCTGTTCCACCTTGTTCTTCGCTCTCGTGTTCCACCTCCTTCTGTCCTTCCACAGCCCCCTGAGTCGTTCCTCACTGTGCTTCACGACATGTTGTCCGACTACCTCCGTGCCTCCCGTCCTGTCGTCTCCCGTGTTTTGTCCGCGTTGGTCACTCACCCGACTGCACCCCTGTCGTCTGTCTCAGCACTTGTTACCACTGTCGCTGGCTTTGCCTCTTCCCACCGCCAGTGGCAGGGTAGTTGCATCGTGCGAGTCAGTGGCAGGGTAGTTGCATCGTGCGAGTCAGTGGCAGGGTAGTTGCATCGTGCGCGTCAGTGGCAGGGTAGTTGCATCGTGCGAGTCAGTGGCAGGGTAGTTGCATCGTGCGAGTCAGTGGCAGGGTAGTTGCATCGTGCGAGTCAGTGGCAGGGTAGTTGCATCGTGCGAGTCAGTGGCAGGGTAGTTGCATCGTGCGAGTCAGTGGCAGGGTAGTTGCATCGTGCGAGTCAGTGGCAGGGTAGTTGCATCGTGCGAGTCAGTGGCAGGGTAGTTGCATTGTGCGAGTCAGTGGCAGGGTAGTTGCATCGTGCGAGTCAGTGGCAGGGTAGTTGCATCGTGCGAGTCAGTGGCAGGGTAGTTGCATCGTGCGAGTCAGTGGCAGGGTAGTTGCATCGTGCGAGTCAGTGGCAGGGTAGTTGCATCGTGCGAGTCAGTGGCAGGGTAGTTGCATCGTGCGACCTGTACGCTGTGCGTCGTTCGTGCCATCCATGGCATGTGCGCCTGACTGTGCCTTGTGTGCTTACGACTGCCACCATGGCATGCATGTCGCCATGCCCGTCCATGCAGGTGTACGCCACCATCTCGGCGCGGCTGCTGCAGCGCGTGGTGTCCATGTGTGTGGAGCAGCCGTCCCACCCCGACCCCATCCCTCCCGTGCTGCTCGACATGCTGCACGCCGAGGTGAGTGCTGCACGCCGAGGTGAGTGCTGCACGCCGAGGTGAGTGCTGCACGCCGAGGTGAGTGCTGCACGCCGAGGTGAGTGCTGCATGCCGAGGTGAGTGCTGCACGCCGAGGTGAGTGCTGCACGCCGAGGTGAGTGCTGCACGCCGAGGTGAGTGCTGCACGCCGAGGTGAGTGCTGCACGCCGAGGTGAGTGCTGCATGCCGAGGTGAGTGCTGCATGCCGAGGTGAGTGCTGCACGCCGAGGTGAGTGCTGCACGCCGAGGTGAGTGCTGCACGCCGAGGTGAGTGCTGCACGCCGAGGTGAGTGTTGCCCCGCATGTCAGGCTGCCCCACGTGCTGCGATACATGATCAGGCATCACATGTATAGTCTGTTCTCTCACCTGCAAGCCCATCCCTCTCCATCCCCCCATTCCGCCCCTCCCACCTCCCTCTGCCCCACATGCTCAGGCTGCCCCACATGCTCAGGCTGCCCCACATGCTCAGGCCGCCCCACATGCTCAGGCTGCCCCACATGCTCAGGCTGCCCCACATGCTCAGGCTGCCCCACATGCTCAGGCTGCCCCACATGCTCAGGCTGCCCCACATGCTCAGGCTGCCCCACATGCTCAGGCTGCCCCACATGCTGCTGTACATGATCAGGCATCACATGCATTGTCTGTTCTCTCACCTGCTAGCCCATCCTCTCCATCCCCCCATTCCGCCCCTCCCACCTCCCGCTGCTCGTGCTGCCCCTCCTCGCCTGCACGCTCCCAGGCCAACACATCTGCCCACGCCATCCACTTCCTGCCAGTCTTCGACCCCGCGCCCCTGCCGCCCACGCCCTACTGCCCGCCGCCCACCTCCGCCCTGCACGCGCTGCTGGGGGCGGCTGCACCGGGCGCGGTGGGCGTGCAGCAGGGGGGGCTGGAGGGCGGGAAGGGGGCACGGCACGGAGAGGTGCCGATGGAGTGAATGCGGCACGGCGAGGCTGCCAGAGCAGCAGCGACGAGGCTGCGGGTGCGGGAATGAGCGTGTGCAGGCGAGGCGAGTGTGCCAGTGCGGCCAAGCGGTTTTCCCTGACAGCTGGGCCGAGTGACTAGGAGCTGTGACTGCTGCACCCCACTGCTGCACCCACTGCTGCACCCACTGCTGCACCCACTGCTGCACCCACTGCTGCACCCACTGCTGCACCCACTGCTGCACCCACTGCTGCACCCGCTGCTGCACCCACTGCTGCACCCACTGCTGCACTTGCCCAAAAAGCCGAAACTACTGCCACAGCCACTGCATGTCCCTCAGCTCTGATTGATCAGTGCTCTCCCAAAAACAATCGCATCCCAGTCAGTGCTGGGTGAAAAAGGATACCATATTCCCCAGTATATACAGCCTGCCGAATAAATGGGGGGCTTATGTGGGCAGAAGGCTTTATTGTGGTATTTTGAAGGATTAACCATTATTATTTCATTATTTCTACTAAACTTTTCTTCATCACTGGGGTAGGGAACCTTTGCCATTTTTTTCACAAAGTTGTTTGTTGTAGTGTACAACCTTTTTTTCAAGCATTGTTTCACGTAGGGCTGATATTTCATAATGGTCCAGACTGATGCGAAACGAATCTGTCACTGATGAAACCAGTGATTGGGGGGAGGGGGGGGAGGGGTGGGGGGAGGAGGGGGGAGGGGGAAGGGGAGGATTGGAGGGTCCAGCACAACATTCGCCTAAAATTTTGCCGCAATCAACGTCAAATTTTCAGACCGTGCGCGTCGCCTTGACGGCCCGGACCGCCTGGATACCGCGCAGCGTGGCAGCAAAAGTCAAGACCACGACAGCGCAGCATCATCTACCGTATCCACCACCAAATCATATCCGCCTATCATCTTGTTAGAGTGAGGACCTTGGATAGAATAGGAGGTGCTTTGGTAGAGTTTGGTAGCGGAAGACTTGTAAGAACTCAGATCATAGTGAATGTAAATGACCAAGTTGATTAAAAGATAGAATACAAGGAACATAAATAGTCCTAGTCTAGCCATGTACTCTAAGGGGTACATTCCCTTATTATAACTGTTTTACAGGCATTTCTACAGTGACTCTGACTGTTGTACTGCCTTTCTTGTTACCGAGTCGCTGCATGTAACCTGTACGGTTACGCCTGTTGCCATTCCTTGATGGTAAGTCAAGCGTCGGTCCAGATGGTCAACAGTCGCGACAGTTGACTCTTGCGACTGTTGACCTTCCTGCCCTTGTTACGGGCTGATCCGATATTGCGATAGTTGCTGCTTCGACATAGTCAGGTGCGATACTGCTGCACCTACGGGAATGCTAAGTATAATTCCCTTCACACTCCAACACTCTCCTTCATTCCTGGAGGTGCGCCACGTGGCTTTTGCGAGTGACTCCGCACAGGTCCGAGCAGTACTGGAACTTCTGACGTGTCAGTTTCTTCGTGAGAAAATCAGCTGCCATTTCGCCAGTTGGACAGTAGATGAGCTGGACCTTCCCTTTGTCGATTTCGTCTTTCACGAAGAAGTAACGCAGGGCGATGTGTTTCGTGCGGTTGACGAAGCCTGGTTTGTCGGCGATTTTGATCGCGCTCTGGTTGTCGCAGAGTAACTTGAAGGACCCATTCATCGCCGTCTTCGTTTCCTGCAGGAGTTCCGTGACGTAGAGGCTTTCGCGAACTGCTGCGCTTGCTGCGATGCATTCTGCTTCTGCTGACGAGAGGGCGATGAGCTCTTGTTTGTTGGAGTTCCAAGAGATGGTGCCTGCAGGCTCAAGTTTGAAAATGAAGCCTGTGCGGGACCTCCTGTTGTCTGCGTCCCCAGCGTGGTCAGCATCCACATAGCCGGTGAGTTGTAGTGGAGCTGTTAGGTTGTAGGTGAGGCCGACATCGGGCGTAGAGATGAAGTACTGTAAGGCACGGCGCAGGTCCGCTAGGTTCTCCCCTTCAGGTCGGCGCAGGTACTGGGCGAGCTGGCTGGCGATGTAGGATAAGTTCGGGCGGCATGTGACGGCGGCGAACAGTAGGCATCCGAGCTGCTGCTGATAGAGACGGTGATCGGCTGGTGAGAGCGGAGTGGTGTCGGGCTCGTGGTTAGGCGGGGGAATGCGGAATGGGGTAGTGACGCCGACGGGAGCTATCCCGAATTTCTTAGCAAGGGTCTCGGCGTACTTTGCGGCGGAGAGATGGATGTGTCAACATATATTTTATATGTGTTGTTTAGGTTAGTCTAGGTGTTACTTTTCTACTTCCTTGCATGATTAGGGTTTGCTATATCTAGGGTTGTACTTCTCATTTTCTACCAATTCATTCTTATCGTAACATGGTATAGAGCTAGGTTTCCCTTAGGCGATTTTTCCCCTAGGCGATTTTTCCCTTAGGCGAAATTTCTCTCGATAGTCTATGGGCCCACCACCCGCGCGCCTCGTAGCGACCCGTAGCCCGAAGCGCCCTGCCCCGTAGAGCCCGAGTAGGCCGCGCCCCCCGTCGCCATCGCGCGTCACCCGTTTCTGCCCTGCGCCCCACCCGTTTTTGCCGTGCGTCACTTGTTTTCTGCCCCGCGCCCCACTCGTTTTACCCCGCGCGTTTCCCCCCAGCCCTCTAGCGCGCAGCAGACGAACGCGCGTAGCTGCGCGCGCAGCCTTAGTCGCACCCGCAGCTTCGCGCTAGTACGTCGCGGCCGCGCGCACCTGCAGCCCACCGTCTTAACCGCCCCCCAGACCTGAAAACCCGCCATTACAGACCTGAAATCCGCCGCCGAACCTGGAAACCCGCCGCCCCAGACCTGAAAACCGCCGCCCCAGACCTGACAACCGCCGCCCCACCTGGAAACCTGCTGCCCCACCCGTTCCAGGCACCTCACCCGGAATCAGCCGCCCCACACAGTCCTCTCCACCGCATTGAACCTCACAGAACCGCACAGAACTGCACATAACCGCACAGAACCGCACAGAACCGCCGCCTCACCCGTAGCCCGCTGCCTTAACAGCTTCCCCACCTGAAACCTGCCTCCCCACGAGCTGCCACACCCGCCACCAGTAGCCCCAGCCGATCACACTGCCGCCAGCAACGCCAGCAGCAGCATAGGCTGCCCCCAGCGCACCAGCAGCAGCGTAGGCTGCCCCCAGCAGAACCAGAAGCAGCATAGGCTGCCGCCAGCGCACTAGCAGCAGCATAGGCTGCCCCCAGCGCACCAGCAGCAGCGTAGGCTGCCCCCAGCAGAACCAGAAGCAGCATAGGCTGCCACCAGCGCACCAGCAGCAGCATTGGCTGCCCCCAGCAAAACCAGTAGCAGCTAAGGCTGCCCTCAGCAGAACCAGAAGCAGCACAGGCTGCCCCCAGCGCACCAGCAGCAGCATTGGCTGCCCCCAGCAAAACCAGTAGTAGCTAAGGCTGCCCCCAGCAGAGCCAGAAGCAGCATAGGCTGCCCCCAGCGAACCAGCAGCAGCATAGGCTGCCCCCAGCGCACTAGCAGCAGCTTAGGCAACTGCCAGCGCACTAGCAGCAGCATTGGCTGCCCCCTGGAGAACCAGTAGCAGCATAGGCTGCCCCCAGCGCACCAGCAGCACCTTAGGCTACCGCCAGCGCACCAGCAGCAGCTTTGCCTGCCCCCTGGAGAACCAGTAGCAGCCTAGGCTGCCCCTCAGCAGAACCAGAAGCAGCACAGGCTGCCCCCAGCGCACCAGCAGCAGCTTAGGCTGCCCCCAGCTGAACCAGCAGCAGCATAGGCTCACATGGCATGTACTAGGGTTCTACAGCAGCAGGGCCAGCCGCAGCACTCCCGTCAGTGGGGGCCTGCGGGTCCAAAGTGTGGCGCCCCCAGTAGTGGCTCAGCTAGCAGTGGGCGAGACATCGGCCTCTGCGGGTACCGGGCCCTGACAGGCCCTGGTGTTGGTACTACCTGCTGGAGTCCTGACCACACTGCGTCCAGCTGCTACCGTCGACTCGACGACCTCCACCGTGAGCGTTTTGGTCCTCACGCTATTACACCGCACTGGCCTTCACGCCTTCGCCAGCGCACTACTGCACCAATTGAGTCTCACCTGCCTGGTCTAGGACCTTTTCCGGCTGCACGAGTAGAGACCTGTGTTTCCAGTCTTGGTGCGTGTGTTGTTTCCAGTCCAGGCGCCTCTGAGGGTCTTTGTGTAGGAGCTGCAGCTACCACTAGTCTAGCACTAGCCTTTGTAGCTGGTTCGGGTGCGACCCCACAGACTGCACAGCTTTCCTTCACCCTAGATTCTGGAGCGTCCAGCTGTTTCTTTCGCGACTGTACCGACCTCACACCACTGCGCACTCCAGTCACTGTCGCCTTGGCTGACCCTCTGTGGGACGTGTAGTTGCTAGCAGCACCACCACTCTTCCGTGTCCGGCGGCTCCCTCAGGTTTTCTTACAGGTTACTACACCCCCTCGTTCTCTAGGAACCTGGTGGGTGTCAGTCACCTCCACGACCTAGGCGTAGTCACTACTTTCCCACTGGACGAGCCTGTTGCCTCCTGCACTGTCGGTGCCACTGGGGCGCCTCTGGCCACTTTCCACAGAGAGCCGGGATCTGGTCTGTACTCACTACACACTGGGTCCCACCACACTGAGTCGGGTCAGGTCAGGTCAGGTCAGGTAGCTGCTGTGTCGTGCGACTGTCGGTCACTCGCCCACCCGTCAGTCCTTTGGCACCACCGTCTAGGTCACCCGTCGTTCCCACGTCTTAGTAGGATGGTACGTCACCGTCTGGTCTCAGGTCTCCCAGCGTCGCTTGCCCCGCTTCCTCGCTCGCCTGCGCCGCCGTGCACTCCTTGCGTCGAGGGTCGGCAGCGCACCGCCCCTCACTCCTCCTCGTTCCCCCCCACCACGGCTCCCTTCCAGACCCTGCACTTGGACGTTTGGGGCCCCTCCCCTGTCCTTGGCCCACGTCAGGAACGCTACTTCCTGATTGTGGTGGACGACTATTCCCGCTACACCACGGTTTTCCCCTTGCGA